GATTGTTGGGATCAAGATTCGGTGCTGCCAGTCTTCAGAGAATGATGAGGACGACGGCCTTCCTTCTGGAGAATTTTGACCGGAAGCCATTTACTCCGGGATCGTTCTGGGTTCTGGTTCAGCTCGCGGAGATGGTCTTTGAGGGAGAAGTGAGGAGAATTGAATGATGTTTGCTTAATTTAACAAATCATCTACTAACTATTAATATTTTTTCATTTTAGTCTAAGATATTTATTTTCTTCTAAAAGATATCAATTAACTTTCAAAATTGGCACTTGGGCTTTTGGATCAAGTGATGTCAAATCACGTTTAAGTGCACTCTCCTTTTCCCAGACAACGGTTTAAATCTGACTTTTTACAAAATTGTTTAAAAGAAAAAAAATTAACTTTCAAAATTGTATCAATTTTGTTACCTAATACAATTTTGTTAGTAAGATTGGCAGAAATCCACATTATCACTTACATGATGTCACATAAGCAGCATGCAAGCAACACTTGCTTGAATAATTTTATTTTTATTATTTCAATTGGGTCTTGTTTTAATTAAATTATATTATAATTTAACCATTTGTAGTTAATTAGGTTAGGGAAACAAAGAGGTGGAATTTTTCCGCTGTTTTCAGACCACATGTTGCTTAATAATAGTTTACATAGCACCACATAAGCGATAAGATGAACTTCTGTTAATTTATTTAACTAAATTATGTTACGTAAATGAAATTGATATAATTTTAAAAATTAATATACGACTTTGAATAAAGATTTTAAATTAAAATAACAAAAAATATTACTCTTTTTGTTCATTGTTAGTAATTATAATTTGATTTTTTTTGACATTTTGAACATAAATTTTAAACGAAATTTTAACAACTTACATGAGTCACTATTGAAAAGTTTTTTTTGTCCTATATTAAGTTCTTATTAAATATTTTTGTTTGATTTTCATTGTTTTGCCTTTTTCTTTTTTAATCAGATTTAGTTTTAGGTTAATTCCTTTGGACCGTTAACTTATATTTTCATCACTTTTGAACTTCCATTCTATTATTTCAAATCATTTAGTCTTTTCTACTTGGTTAACGCACAGGGTGTTTATTTTTTCAAAATATCCATTTTGGTCTCTAATTTTTCTTTTTGAACATTTTGTAAATATTATACTTCTAGAGAAAAAAAAAAAATTGTTTTCCTTGGATAGCATTGAAAATCTTTAACAAATAAACTATATATATTATAAAGAAAATGGAAAATTGGAATGTTCCTTAAACAAAACCCCTTTTTTACTTATGCTGTGAGAGGACTAGTTTAAGGAAATTTCCTCTTATAACATTAAGGTGCAAGTTCCGTTTTTATGTTACAAAATATAGGAAGTTCAGAAGCAAAGGCTTATCTTTCTTTCTCCAATTAAACTTTTGCTCCTTTCATTTCAAACGTTAAACCGACATTCCAACATTCTTTGCATTGATGCGTGAATTCCATAAAATCTAAAAATTATTCAAAACTTGATAATTTACGTGT